ATGACGATGGCGTCACCTACAAAAGAGAAGACTCGGTGTTAGCGCGAGAAAGTGTGTCAGAGGACGGCCGGAAGAGCGTCGCTAACGGGCGTAGATTTCTTGGACACCAAATCGAAATAAAATGAGAACACCCGCTACTGCGACCCCCGTCAAGAACATCATTCACAATTTTGGATTTTTCGCCTACGGATTTTGAAGAAGTACAATTGTTGAGCCGATAATGACTGGGATCCCCGTAAAGAATATCTTTAAAAGTTGTCAATTTTCCGCCAAGGTTTTTGCAAAAGTGTAATTTTCGGACCGTTAGCGACAAAAATTCGGAGAACCCGAACTCCCGCCAAAACAAATAATTTCGACCACCCAGCCACAAGGATCGTCGTCAAGAACATCGTTAAAATTTAGATTTCCCGCCAACATTCGTCTTGAAAATTGAAATTTTAGATAGCTAGTGACCAAATTTCGGAAAGCCATGACCCGTGCCCTGCTACTGGGATCCCCGTAAAGAATATCTTTAAAAGTTGTCAATTTTCCGCCAAGGTTTTCCAAAAGTGTAATTTTCGGACCGTTAACTACAAATTCGGAGAGCCCGGACTCCCGCCAAAACAAATAATTCCGACCGTCCAGCCACTGAGATCGTCGTCAAGAACATCGTTAAAATTTAGATTTTCCGCCAGCGGTCGTCTCGAAAATTTAAATTTTAGAGAGCTAGCGACCAAATTTCGGAGAGCCACGACCCGGTAAAGCAAACAATATTGAACGCCAAGCGCCCGCTTACGGGTTGAATACATAATTTTACTTCTTGGAGACTAAACCAGGAGAATTTAGACGACCCCGCTACAAGATTCCTGAATTGTGAGAAAGACTCCGCAAGGTCGGGAGCGGCAAAAAAAAAATTCAAAGAGGACGAACATCGTTGAGCGTCGCCGTAGCTCAGAGAGCAAACATACAGATACAAACAGAGAGAGAGAGAAAGTAGCGTCGAGTAGCGTCGTAGTTGCTTAATGACCGTGGTTCTAGTGTAGATGGTCAGGAGTATCGAATACACAAATTTACAAACATGGAGAGAGAGAGAGAGTGTGAGAGAGAGAGAGAGAGAGAAAAAATAATTGTCTTTGATAATTTCGCTGTAAGAAGAACTCTTATGATTTGCATGTTTTTCGAAATCTTAAACTGCTATTTTTAAAAGTATAGTGCTATTAACTTGGATTACAAATAAATAAGAAATACATTCCTTCGAGGACCGAAGCAGGACAGATTTATGGTTTTATTAATTAATTGCCAGATTTCTTGTAATTCTGTCATTTTTTTAGAAAGATGTAGGCCTGTATCCTTACTCTTCTTTCCATGTTTTTGCTCCACAACTAAGGTTAAAGATATAACCCTATAGTTCCGATTCAAATAACAATGACAGCGAAATGAAAAATACAGTTTTTCAAAGGTCTGAGAAGAACATGTAGTGGTCGGGGGAGAAAAACATGTAGTGCTCGATGTGGAATTTCTGTCTAAGAACAGAAACACTTGAAGGACGTGTATTTCTCATTTCCTCTTGTTGCTTACCTGGATCTAGGGGTGTGGGACTGTATTTGTAACCTGGTTGACTTGTTTCGTTTATGTCATTTGCAAAGGCTAATGTAGGCCTATATCATCCATCTTCTTTGCATCGTCCTCCTCCTCAGCCACGGTTACAGACAGAGCCCTAGAATCTTGAGTCCAGGCAAGAACGACAACAACAAGGTCCTCTTCCTTGCGTGGATGTAGGGATTGAGGACTGTGTTTGTAACCTGCATGATATGTTTTATTTAATCGTTTTCTAGGAGGAATGTTTTGCCTGTATCCTCCGGCCCCTCCATGCCTCGTCTTCCTCCTTGCCATGTTCTTCCTTCCTCCTCCTCACATATACACACACAACCTTGCCATGTTATCTTCTTACTTCTCCTCTTCCCCTCTCCTTGTGCTACTAGTCCAACTCCTTACCATCTTACTCCTCCCTCCCCTTTCCTTCTCCTACTTGTCATCTTCTTCTTCYTGCCATCTTCTCCTACTTCGCACATTCCCCGCGCCTTCTCCCTCTCTTCCGTCCCGCGTTCCATACCATCCGCGTCCACGCCTTCTCCCTCCTTTCCGTCCCGCGTTTCATCCCATATTCGACCCCGCCTTCTTCCCCCTGAGGTTCTTCTTCCCTGAATCCCCCGCCCCTCGCCTTCCCCTGTTCCTTCCCCCCCACGTTCCCCCCGCGTTCCTCCATGCCTCCTCTTGTTTCTTGCCATGTTCTTCCTTCCTCCTCCTCACACATTTACACACAGCCTTGCCATGTCATCTTCTTCATCCTCCTCTTCCCCTCTCCTTCCCCCACTACTCCAGCTCCTTACCATCTTGAAGTTCCTCCTCCTGCCATCTTCTCCCCCTCCTCCTACTTGCCATCTTGTTCTTCCTGCCATTTTCTCCTCCT